GAACCCTTCAGCTCAGGGGGGGAAGCTGGGTTCTGGGGACTCTGGAGTCCAATGTAAACAAATGGGGAGTGAAGTTAAGAGAATGGGTAATCCTCTCCTCTCTTCTCTATCAAAATGAAAGGTCAATTCAATTTTCATCTTCCTTGGACTCTCCAATGTCTTCATTCTCCAAGACTCACTGATGCATCTACAGTGTATTCAACATTCATAATTCAGGTGTATATAATATATTTTCACGCTATTTCTTGTTCAATCATTTTGGCCAGTAAGATATTAAAAACAGTGGCTAGCCCTCTCCTTTTGTGCCATCAAGCTTCATTCATTTTTTTGTTTTTAATCGAGAGCCTTTGTATTTGTGTTCTGAAATGCATTTCAAGATAAACCCACTGCCATCAAGTTAATTCCAACTCAGAGATTTTATAAGTAAGAAAAACACTTTAGCAGATTTTTTCAGTGCAGCAACAACCCTACTTCAATTATCCAATTTTATAGAAACTTTTCTAGGGTATTTCATAATTACAAGTCAGAAAATTTAGTAATCGAGATAAAATATGCCTCTAAAGAAAAAAATATTTAAGTGTTTATTATGTGCAGGACACTACAAGAATATGAGAAATGAAAACCTTGACCTCGACTATGCTTATAATCTAGCTGGGGAGATAATGCAATTATAAGTTTTTTTGTTCATTTCAATGGCATTAAGTAATTAAAAACCAAATATAGACTCAATATATAAGAATGACTTCATGAAGGAAGTATACCTGAGCTGGACCTTCAAAAAACAAAGTAGGCTTTGTAGAGGTAGAAAAAAGAAGTGAAGAGCATTTCTAGTAGGAGAGGATGAAAAATAAAGCAAGACAGCAAGAATTAGAGGAATTTCAGATGGAGATCTTAGACGTCATCCTGAGTTAGAGCAGGTTAAAAAACCTTCAGGAAAAAGTGTTTTCTCATCAGGCCCCAACTAGCAATGAAAGGTAAAATAAAGGTAGATAAGGTCTGACTGGACAAATTCTGGATACCATCTAGTTGACTGGTTAATGGTAAAACTTGAAATTTCTCAGGAAATTTATGTTATTTTTATTTAGAAAAGAAATTAAGCACTCATTTCCTAGCTGATTTTTGAACCTTTCTTTTTACAACTGGAGATTAACTAGAGCGTTATATTACACATGCATTCTTTCCCA